GTGGCTGGAATTCCTTTGTGCTGCACTGCAGATGCTCTCCTGCTGAGCTATGATCCTTCTTCCGTCTCTGGGCACATTATTAAGGCTCAGAAATAGCTGAGAGAGAAATAGAAATATGAATTCCATCCAATATTTTTCATTAAAATGAATGTCACACAACAATGAAATCTTACCAACTGACATTTTAGGGAAGACATTAGTTTGAATTTTCTATCCAGTTTTTTTCTTTTTTTAAAGAGTTACCTGTATTTCTTGTAATCAAAATATCTGAGAAAAGATCAGTAGTCTTTCTTCAGTATACCACAGAGTCAGTGATTTCATGAGACCATCGTAGGCACAACATCTGTGTCCTGTGAGCGTGCCCTGGAGCCCATCCAGCTGCAAAATGATGCCCCATCCCAGCTGGACCAGTCACCAGATGTGCTTGGTGGCTGGTTCCTGAAGTGATGGTGCTGGTGCAGGGGAGTGGGTAGCGGAGCGCCAGCCATGAAGGCTGAGGTTGCTCCTTCCAGCAGCAGTGATGGCTCACTCCAGCTTCAGCGTTCATCAAGGAGCAGCCTCATGCTGTTTGGCTACTGGTCTTTGTGGTGGGATGGCTGGACACAAGTGGAAGAGGCATTTGACCACTTCTGCCCCTGTCCTTCCCCCACATTCGCTCTCCCACATGTCAGCTGTTGTCAATTCACCATAAGTTGAGGTCAGACTGTAGGAAATAGCACTGCAGTGTGGTCACGGCGATGTAGCAAATCACAGCGTGAAACCTTGTGGCTGGGGAAAGTGATTTTATTTTAAACCAAAACTGATTGTTGTCATTTCCTTTCACAGTCTCACACCTGCGTACTCACATTCACAAGTACACATGTGTGGTTTAGGATGCACTTGATGGGGAAGGGAAGGATGCCAGCCAACAGGTCCTCCTCACGTCTCTTGCTGCTGGGGTGGCCATGTCTCTGCTGGTTTTGGATGTGCCGTTTCGTACCTTCTGGTAGCTGGCAGTGATTTATTTCTCAGTCTTGTTCTGTGTGCACCATCAGGTTTTTGCTTGCTATCCTTTGTCACCCTGCATGGGTGTCTTGAGAAGGAAGACACAGGCATGCTCCTGGGTGGCTGCTAATCTTGGTGCCCCCAGCATGTGCCACCCCAGGAGTCCTCCTTCTACCTGTTATTCCTTCTGACACTTCCACACCCTCATCCCATCCATTCATGCCATGTTTAACATTTCTCTTTCAATTCCCTTCAGAGTTGTCTTTCTGGTCATAGTTAATTGCTGTTCAGTGTATCAGGGACTTAGACCTGTGCTCTGCTGTGGTAGGTGATGGCTGCAGGAAGCATGTGAACTTTGTGGGATGACTTTAGAGTTGATTTGCTCGTCATGCGTGTTGTAGGAAGTGTGTCCTTGTGGAAGAGGAAAGCCTGGACATGATAAAGTCAATGAGGAGTTACTCTAGCGGTGCCAGTGGAGCTCGTGCTTTTTCAAAGGCATAAGATAATTAGATTAATATTTTACAGAAATAATTTAAACTTTATAATCTAATATTTGTGATTGCATTAAGATAAAATTCTACTCCTTATAAGGACATAATTCTATTAACTAAAAATCACACTGCAATAGCCAGTATTTCATGTATGACTTTGAGTATGGATTGCAAACAATAGCCAGTGATGGAAACACCCGTTTGATGTTAACACCTGAGTAATGTGGCGCTGTGGAAAACAACAAACTGTGACAATCAAAAATTCTCAGCTGCTGTTTTTAATTTGACTTTCAGTAGAAATTACATTTAGTTCTGTTTAAGGTACTTTAGTTTCCATTCCCTTAATGTACTAAAAGGACATAATTAACAGTATGTATGTCTTTAACAGGAACCAGTGATCCGTACGTCAAGTTCAAACTTGGAGGAAAAGAAGTATTTAGAAGTAAAACAATACACAAGAACCTCAATCCAGTGTGGGAAGAAAAAGCTTGCATTCTTATAGAAAACCCAAGACAACCGTTATATATAAAGGTGAGACACTATTTTACTTATGTCTGTCAAATTACAATAGAGGACTTATTGAAAGAATTTATATTTTGTAATTTTTGTATACTGAAAAAAATATTGTGCAATAGTACATTACTAAAAACTGTTTAGAAGTGAAAATTATTTAAATTACATCTGTATACTGATGATGTCAAAATTAAAAAAGAAGAAAAAAGGAAAATACAGGCATTTTTGTTTGTTTCAGGCTATAATTCTTTTATACTTATTTAGTGCCATCTTGGGAGAAGGACTGAGAAAGTAAACTGTGTTTCATGATGATGTCATCCCTTCTATTTATGGAAATATTGCATAATTCTGATACGAAGCATAATCTATTCCATTAAAAGCAACTCTTTGCTGAGCTTAACATGAGAATTTATCGAGATACATGCCCAATTCTCCTAGTTTTTGCATTTCTTTCATTTATACTTCAATACAGTGAGTTTAGTTACATATTTCATAATGCTTTATGCTTTTTTTTTTTTTTTTGCTTTGTAACTACTTATTATATCACAGGTGAGGATGGTTTTGTCATAATACAGGCATGATTTATTCCAAAATAACAGATAGCTTGAGTTTAAGTTAGAGAGGCAAGCAATGTCCAATTAGCAGCAATGCCAGTAGTACTTCTTAATTATCCATATTGGAACAGAAACTAGAAAAGCTGTGATCATTGTTTTATAGGCATGGAATGGAAAGGTGCTTTTATGGCCCCAGTAGTTTATGGGGTTCTATATCCCAAAAGTGATCCTTAATTACGTAAAATAAAGTAGATGATAACAATTAAGTTCTAAAAATGTAATGGGAAAAAAAATGTATTCTTAGGGTTCTAATTAGAACATGCATAGGTCAAAAATACTTTGAGAAATAATGGAAACTTAGGTCTTACCTAAGTAATCCTTTTAATTGGTTTGAAATGATACAATGCTTCAGGTAACTATCAGTCTTAATCTCAAATACGTGAGAAAAATTTTGACTGAAATATGGAACTGTAGATTTTTTTATTAAATGACGGCTACTTAAACAGCCTTTGAGTGTTGATCTGTACTATGTTTCATGTATTCTGCTTGGATAAAGTACATCATTATTGTAAAGTGTAAAGTTAATTATAATTCTCAATTGGCATTTTCCTGCCCTTATTAAGCTTAGTGACTCATAAGGAATGAACACGTGCCCAGCACTGTGAAAGAGAAAAGCAAATTCAAAGAAGGACAGTTACAACATAGGTACCTGCTTCGATTTATTTGTGCCAAATACCAACCCTGCAGCAGGGTCACAAGGGAATAGGTGTGTGTGTTTTTATGTTTTTCTAGAAAGAGCATGTCAAGTCGTATAATGTCTATCCATCTTTGTACTCTGAACAAACTGTGTGAAATATTTCAGTATTTGTATCTTGTTCATATATTGTAAGACATGATTAAATTGTAGTATCATCAAATCCCAGACTGGTTTGGGTGGGCAGGGACCCCACAGCCCACCCAGTTCCACCCCTGCCATGGGCAGGGACACCCCCCACTAGCCCAGGTTGCCCAAAGCCCCATCCAGCCTGGCCTTGAACACTGCCAGGGAGCCAGGGGCAGCCACAGCTTCTCTGGGCACCCTCTGCCAGGGCCTCAGCACCCTCACGGGGAAGGATTGCTGCCTCCCATCCCATCTCCATCTCCCCTCCTGCAGCTTCAGGCCATTCCCCTTGGCCTGTCACTCCCTGCCCTTGGCACCAGCCCCTCTCCAGCTTTCCTGGAGCCCCTGCAGGGACTGGAAGGGGCTCTGAGGTCTCCCCGCAGCCTTCTCTTCTCCAGGCTGAACCAGCCCAACTCTCTCAGCCTGAGGTCTCCACAGCAGAGGCTCTCCATCCCTCGCCGCTTCTCCATGCCCTCCTCTGGCCTCGCTCCAACAGCTCCGTGTCCTTCTTGTGCTGGGGACCCCCGAGCTGGACGCAGCACTGCAGGGGGGTCTCAGCAGAGCGGAGCAGAGGGGCAGAATCCCCTCCCTCGACCTGCTGGTCACGCTGCTGGTGATACAGCCCAGGACATGGTTGGCTTTCTCAGCTGTGAGTGCATGTTGATGGGTCATCTCCAATTTTTCATCCACCAGCACCACCAGATCCTTCTCCTCAGGGCTGCTCTCAATCCCTTCATCCCCCAAACTGTGTTAATACTGGCGGTGGCCCCAACCCATGTGCAGGACCGTGCACTTGGCCTTGTTGAACCTCCTGAGGTTCACATGGGCCCACTTCTCCAGGTTGTCCATCCAGGTCTGTCTGGATGGCAACCCGCCCCTCAGCCATGTCAACTGCACCACTCAGTAAGTCAGCTGAAAATACTTATTTGACATTTTTATCTTGATAATGTGTTGGGGGAGAAAATAAGTCTTTTTTGCAACATGAACTGATAATTCATCTTTTTTTTTTTTTTCTCTCCCCATTAAAATGAATATTAGACAGAGAAAATACAAAGATACCCACTCAGGTGGTTTAATGCATATGAGACACTTGTGCTCAAATGCTTGCATTCCACCCTTTGACTCGTACAGCAATACTGTAGCCATTGGGCTATGGGATTTCTGTTACTACTGTCTTAATCCAGTCCATATTAAAGTATTTTTAGAAGATGAACAACTCTAACTATCTCCTGGAGACGATTTCCTGTAATACAATAGTTTAAGTATTTATATAAAAGTTGAAGACCTTGAACCTACGCCTCTCACATCTCAGTTAAATATTCTCATTACTGGCTGTTCACAAGTTTCACTCTTAGTTAGAGCTGAAGGTATATTCTGATCCTCAGAAATTCTCATGACAATAGTTGCCAAGAAAATTCTACTTACCTCGAAAGTTTGATTTTGCTAATTTATATTTTCCCATTTTTTGTTTTTGTAATTTTGTGTCACAACCTTCCTTTGGTTGCCATCCACCTTTTTTGTTTATTTCTCTCCGAAAGCCATCCCCAGTTTATTTGTTATTCTTCCTTCTTACTTGGGAAGGCATAATCCATCTCGAAACATTGATGCTATTCCACACACTGGCCACAGATTCCTGTCAGTAAATTTGTCCAGATGCTATGTCTTTTAGGTAGCAAGTTAACAGGCAGGGTCCTCAGAGTAATAGATGTCACTATTTCCTTACATAAATCCATTAAGTTTTCATCTTAGATTGTAATATTTCTAAACCCTAGAAACTTATACAACCTTCAAAACTTACAATTTTGTCATTCCTGATACTGATGCGAGAGCTGTAGTAACCCACTTTTCACCATCATGGCCTGCCCTCCCACCTGTATTTTGCAAAATTGATAAAGGTATTAATTAATATATAGCAAATCAATGATTCTGCTTAACTTTAGTTATTCTTTTGGCCTTCCTTCTTTTAGTACCTATGTTTATAAAAATTCTTCTTTTGTTTTTATAAACATGATGTTGTTCACATATCTGGTCTAGTAGTAGCAGCTGTATACCCCTATGCCTTTACATGATGCATTCTGACCTTTACATAAGCAGTTTCAAACTTGATTTTGTAGTCAGAAAGTTGCAGGTTACTTTCCAATAGTCCTGGTTTGACATGTAAGAAACACGTAGTTTCACTCTGGAAATGGAGTTTCAAGAACCATTCATAAAGCCAGAAAATAAAAAAAAATTTAAAAAAAAAAATTCCAATACTGAAAAATGCATTAATTTCCTGTGCATCTTAGGTCTTTGACTATGACTTTGGACTTCAAGATGACTTCATTGGTTCGGCATTTTTGGATCTCACTTCCTTGGAATTAAATAGGTATGGCACAAACAAGCCTATGGAGTAATTCTTTATGGTTGTCTGCTAATATCCTGTTTATGGAATTGTAAATAGAATATTGTGCTGGAAAATAATTAGATAAACCTACACCACATTGAACTAGCCAAGTAAAAAGGGAATTACTGTATTTTGAAAGAATAACATTTTAACTGATCATGCACAATATTTTTTATAGTGTCTACGGAGAGGTTAGTTTTATAACCACTTTATCCTTGTTTTTATATTATCTTGATTCACAGCATTGCTACCTACTTTTTAACTTTTTCCTATTTTTTAATCCATTAATGTTACAGTTCAGATTGGATTACTTCAGTATGTATAAGTACTTAACACAGAGTAACGGTATTTAGTATTTATTTTTGAGTCTTTAGACTGCAGTACTTGAAAGTAGAAATAGGATAAATTTGTGACAGCATTTTGAAGTAGTTTCACATAAATACAGATAACTTTAGTGCTCAAGATTCAGAAATTTCATTATCTGAGTGCCTGAAGACAAAATAAATGCATGTATTTTTGTGTCCTAGGCAAACAGATGTTACGTTGTGTCTGAAGGATCCTCATTACCCTGCCCATGATCTGGGAAGTATACTGTTATCAGTTCTGTTGGCTCCTAGAGAAGAACAGCCAGAAATGGTAATTTTAAGTATTTTAATATGTATCATCACTCTTGTGATTGTTCTATGGTGGCATGACTTAAAGCACAAGAGTAAACCACATATTCTGAGGTTTACTTGATTTTTCCAATTGTTAAAATATCATGGGACAGTGTTTCTGGTATAGTACAGCATGCTTCATTTGAACTGGATCCTCCCTGAGATAGTACTGAGGCATCCACATGGAACACAAATGCTCAGCAGTTTTGGAGAAAGTCAGTTGCAGGTGAATGGTACTGATTAATGTGGAAAAATATCAGTAAACCACTGGTGAAGAATTTTGGACCTAGTGCTGCGATCTCTACATAGAACATTTGAATCCTATTTCACACTGAAAATAAAGAAACTTGAAGAGAGGTAGTATTTCTGCTTTTTGGCATCTAATGATGAAGTATTATTTGATGTTTTTCAATTTCATGACTAGATTTCAACTACAAAATTTTGTGATTTTCTAGGTTTATTGTAATTCCTTCATCTTAGTTTTCTGTGCTGCTCAGCTGTAAGTGAAAGTGGTTTTCTAGTTTTAAAGATCCTGTTAGTTGTGACAAATTCTGTCGCTAGTTGGGTGTATTTTATGAGCTCTTTGTCAGTTGACTTTTCAGTTGAGCAGTAGTAGTACAACTGTGGCAGAAATACCAGAGATGACATCTCACTCAGAGCTTGTAAAATAATGTGGATTCCTTTGGCTTCAGAGAGGCCAAGAAAAAAATATTAATCTGATGAAGTTTTCCATGGATATTGTCAACTATACGTTTTTTGTAAGAGCATCTATGTTTCTGTATGCTGCAGTGTGACACATCATCCTGTTGCATACCTGATGCATATTGGTAGGTTTTAGTATTGTTTTTTCTATTTTTCTCCTAGCTGTTATTAAATAGCCAAGTAAAAGTCAGTTATTGGAATTAGGTGTTTCGTATTTGGAATGGCAGAGATGTAGAGTTTTGAAAATAGATTTCTCATCTCTTAATTTTCTTCGTGACATTCTGTTAAAACTTAACAAAAATAATGGAATATGGTGGTAATGTGCAGAAAGTTTATTTAAACAGTGTATTTTTCTTTCTTTTAACAATACGTTTCTCCAGACAACTCAGAATACTATCTTGCTAATTTACGCTACAAAGGTGTTTATCACTGAAATTGAAAAATGTGTTTCATTCTAGGGGGTTTTTTGTGTGTATTTGGGTAAGACCAGCATTTCTGAGTTGGCTGGTAATAGTCCTTTTTTTCCAAGTGGCTTTGGCATTATCCTGCTGTAATCCTAAATTATGCAGCGCAGAAATACTATATTGCTATGTGGGAAACCATTATGTGGACAGCACATTAGTGTCCTTTATTCGTCATACAGATAGGATAGCTACTGTGCCACTCAGTGTTACCAGCTATTACACAAAGAGCACTCAAGACGATCACAGGTGAGAAAGTGAAGTTAAGAAGACACTACAGGGTAACATGTCTTTCATAAGGATATTTACTCAGTGAATTCGCAACTGAACATCAGAAGTAACGGGAGCGCCATAGACTGATGGGAGTAGGAGGAAGAGTTGGTTTTGTGCTATTATGCATTTCATTATAAACTTTGTATTTAGTAAGCTAATCCTTTCAGTTTCTCTCAAGTGACCAGTGTTACATCCCATTCAAACTGTTACGTGGGACTTCATTCTGAAAATGCCCAAGATTCAAATTAAGATTCTGATTCCTAATCTGAAGCTATATATTTATTATTGAAAACCAGTCTTCCCAAGATATGGGTCTCAGAGCAGCTCTAGCAAAGTTGCAGTAACATCAGAAATTGCAGTAACATCCGATAATTTGTGTCACAATGCAGGGAAGATGACCTACAAAATTAATACTGAATTGCTGTATACGAGTGTGTTAAGGGGTTAATAATTCAAGGCGTAATTATCTTTTATTCAGTTACCACATCTAATTATTTATTTATTTATCAGATTTTATTTACTCTCTAAGGAGTAGATATATTACAAAATGTATTGCTCCAATTAAACGGTCATCTTTGGTTATTTTTAAAAGGTCTTGTAATAATGAGGGTAATTTTTATTTAATTTAATATAGTTGAGATCAATAAATTTTCAAATGTTAAGTTAGAGGATTGAGGCTAATTCTTGTCCACTCTGGAAATGTGCACCACATAAAGCAGTAATTAAAGCAACTCCTACATTCCCAATCTGTGTAGCGTGCTGTTTGATTATTGCTTCCCTTCTACTCAGGTATCTCTACATAGATAATAAGTCAAATAGTATAGTTGAAAGAGTTAGATAAAAACTTGTGAGCGCCTTCAAAAATGCTTTAATGACTGCTGCATAGAAGACATAGAAACCCTGTCTCTTTACCACACATGCGTTTTTTTCCCTAAGTGATTGCGAATTTTCTTAAATCCTGTCAGTCTGATATCCCTATATAGCCTATATTTCAAAATTTTCTTCTGAATAAGTTTTAATTTGTTCAGGTGATAACTCTAAATTGCTTGCACACTTCACATGTAAATGGTGTAAAATGTTTAAATCATCAAGCTGAAGAATTCAGAAATTAACTGCTAGTATTTAAATTTCAGGTACTTTAATTCCATATACTTAAAAGGAGAGTGTTTATTAAGACCATTGGGAAAATTAAGAAAAGGAATAGCTTCAACAAAAGAAGTATTAGCTTTGCCATGCAGCCGTAGAAGCAGCGTTGTGTCTGGTCCTGTATTTTGGGCAGCTCTATAGTCATCATCATCGAAACCCAGCCCTGCTGAAACAGACCTGTTGTCT